ACGCCCGCGGCTGTAACCAGCGCTCAATGTGGGTCAACGGGAGCTGCTGCTAATTCCGTCTTTCCTGCATGTGAACCACTTTGGCTCCTTACGCTTTTTCCCTATTTTTGTTCCTAGAGAACTGCACTCTCCTGTAGCTTGCAGACTAACTGCTAATGCAGTTTATGGCTGATTCAAGCAGCACGGCCTTACTCTCAAAATGGGGAGAAGATTCCACCTTGCTGCTGGAGCCCCTGTTCAGCAGCTGCTCTTCAGACGGGGCGTGCTGCGTTCTCCCAGCTGCAGTGTAGAGAAAGTATTACCTCACATTTTTATTTCTTTAATTTTCCTCGAGGTATTTTATCTATCACATTGTCATACACTCAGATACAAAAAGATCTATTTTGTATTAACTAGAAAAACTGAAGTTCCTGAGCCTAGGCTGTGTAAGCAGAGTAAGATACTACAAAACTGCTAACTTAGCTATTTGAATAAATGCCTGTGTGTTTTAGTTGCCTTTCATTATTCCTTGAAAATTTTTCATCCTTTTCCCAAGAAACTGTAAAAGATGCCCTTAGATAACTAATAGTATCTGTTTCCCCAAGCCATCTGGTGGCTGACGGTGCTAATGCGGGGCTCGGCGCTCGGTGCCGGGCACATGGGCCATCTGCCGCGTCGCCTGGGGACAGCCCGGCCGTCAGCGCGACCCGCGTGTCCTGCTGCCCACAGCGCGCGGGTGGCGGGATCGCGGGAGAAGGGCTCTCCAGCGCGGCGTGGGGAGCTTGCGCAAACTGACCGTAAACCCCTGCAGCTTCCTTGTGCGCATGTGTGCGCCTGCATGTGTGTATTTGATTTCTCTAGGTCCTGTGTCCTTTTTAGGGATTGTTTATTAAATCCCTGGGATTTCTTTTTTGCATAATGGCCGGTGCAGCCGCTTGCTCAATCCTGCCTGGAAGAGCTCCCTGGGTTTGGACATGGGGAGGAGGTCACTTCTACTGGAGAGCAGGTGCTATGATAAGATGAGGCCTTCGTCAACATCTTCATCATCTTCATCAGTTTTTCTCTTCAGACAGTTGATTTAGCAATCCAGCTCGATTTGTCTCAGCTCTTTTTCTCCTTTGCTTTCCGCCAGGAGAACAAGCGGCAGCACCTCCCTGCTCGGGGAGCGGAGCCGCGCTCCTCGCGCAGCAGCCGGGCTGTCCCCGCGGGTGCCCGTGCCCTGGCTGGGCGCCTCGTTGGCACCCGGACGCGCCGGGGCAGCGACTGCCTGCGGAAAACGCATTACGTGGTGACCGGCACGAGGACGGGGTGCGTTCAGCGTGCTACCTTGTCAGAGAAACACGAGCGCTTGTGCGAGCCCCGTGTGTAACTGCACACGCTCTATCTGTAGGTCTCCTTGAGAGCCATCTGACACCATCTACCACATCCCAGGGAACAGAAAGGCTTGGGACTGAAAGTCACATGTTGGAGGGAGAACCGCATTCATAATTAATCCTTATGTTCATCTTATCCTGCAGGTATCTCCACCTCTTCCAAATCTGTGCTGATTTTATAAATGAAGCTAAGAAGAAAATCCCTAATACTGAATTTCTAAAAAATCCTTGGATATTTGTACATTGGTGTGTGTTGTAAACTGAGCATTGGAAATGGCAAGGGTGGATAAACTACCGAGGTGTAAGAAAATGAATGAATAGTTCATAAAATTGTTATATTTGTACTGAAGTAGTAAGCTAAAACATTTTAAATGAAAGGTTATGAATTTTGATATCAGCATATGACTATATTATAAAAATAATTTAACTAATCCTGATTCTACCAGAGAAAAATGCTAATACTGGGATTACATAGATGAGCTAAAGTTTGACTTTTGCACGTCCTACTTAAAACATTGTTCAATCCTAAAGGTCCATTTTTGAGTTCTACCAAAATCCTGAATGTCTTACGACACTTTATTTACTTGGGACAAGAGCAAGCAGTACCATCCCTGTCTTCAACCCCAGAAATTACCCAACTGCTGTGAGGAAATGGCTGGATTGAAACGCGATGGTCGGACTATGCTGGCATCTATCAAAATGCCTTAAACTAAATGCCTCAATCTAGAGAGCTCACGTTCCAGGGGCACCTAGGACCTGAGATGCTGCTATGGTGGGAATATGCATGACATTTGATGCACTGCTTAGGGCTTTAGCAAGTGAACATTTTCATCCTTGCCTGGGTGCATTCCGTTTTTTGTTTCCTCTAGCCATCTGTGTCTGCCACCTCAATTCTGCTTCCCCATTGATAGACTTTCTTAATCACTGTATTTTTTTCTTTTTTAGTAAAAATCTAACTGTACAGGACAGATAAGTATGTAAATAAATGATTATGCTTATGTATATGTTAATATTTATATGTAAAAAACATATGTATATAGGAAAGAGAATATGTCTCAAAGAATGTTTTAAAAACATTTCTTTCTTACAAATGCCCAGACAGAAAACTTACCCGAGCTGGTACTTGATTCAAACACAGGGGTTTCCTCTTGGATTTGGGCCGCTTGCGAGCGCCAGCCCGGGCTGTTTGGCAGCGTGCAGGGATTTGGAGCACGTCCAAGCTGGACGTGCAGCTCCTGCACAGGCGCGCGTTCCCCGTGCAACCCTGCGGGGCGCCCCCAGTGCCTTACCCGTCCGGGCAGCCTGAGAGCCCCGCGGTGCCCAAATGCAGTGCCCACGCGCCGCACTGCACCGCGGTGCCCAAACCCTGCGCTGCCCACGCGCTGCATCGCGCTGCGGTGTCAAATGTGGTGCCCAAACTCTGCGCTGGAAACGCGCTGCACCGCGCCACGGTGTCAAACGTGGTGCCCAAACTCTGCGCTGCCCACACGCTGCACCGTGGTGCCCACGCGCTGCACCACGCCGCGGTGCCCAAACCCTGCGCTGCCCACGCACTGCATCACGCTGTGGTGTCAAACGTGGCACCCAACCTCTGCGCTGCCGCCACGGAGGGAGCTGGGGCCCCACACAGCGCGTTTCAAGGAGGCAGCCTAATGCAGCTGTGCACTGGAGCATTGTACACTTTATAAAAAGGAAATCTTGTAAATTTATGTAAAATAGAAACAAGAGAAAATGTTTTTTTCCAGAGGCCGCCGTGCCGTGACTTCCTTGTGCCCTCTGATATAGTCTCCTGCTACCCTACCCCAAATATGTAACGTTTGGTTCCGTGCCGAAGCAGTAACGGATGGGCCTGGGGCAGGGCCAGACGCTGATCGGTTACAGAATTTTACACATATTTTTGTATTGTGATTCATATGATATATATGGAAAGACTTTCTATTCATTTGTAAAATACATAAATTATTGTAAACTTTTAATAAAAAGAACTGTTTTAAACCTTCAGAAAAGAGAGGTTGCGCTGGGACGCGGGTGCCGTCGCGGGTCGCTCCCGCTCTGCAGGGCCGGTCCCGGCCCGGTCC